CACGGCACAGCTTGGTGTCATCTGCAAAGACTGAAATGGGATTTTCAGTCCCAGACCCTATATCACTTTATAAATATGTTAAAAAGTAAGGGTCCCAACACTGAACCTTGGGGTAAACCACTGACAACCCTAGACCAATCAGAGTATGAATCATTAACCACTACTCTGTGAATACCATCTTTTAGTCAGTTTTCTATCCATTTACATACAGATTTAAAGGTATTTATTAAATTTGCCTTCTCTTTGTCCCCAGTCACCCACTCTAGATTATTTTGTAAAGGGCCTACATGCTTGGACCGGACCTTTTTACTATTAATATATTTGAAGAATTTGTTGGGATTGGTCCTGCTATCTTTTGCAATCTGTCGTTCGTTTTCAATTTTTGCTGCCTTTATTTCCTTTTTTCATATTGTTATATTCTTTGTAATGTTTAAATGATTATAGCGTTCCTTCATTTTTATACTTAATAAAAACTCTTTTCTTATTATTTATAGCTTTTTTTAACTTTGGCCGTAAGCTACATAGGTTTGATTTTTAAACTTGTTGCCCATGGGAATATATTTTGCAATTTGTTCACATACAGTCTTTTTGAAGAACTCCCATTTATATGTTGTGTTCTTCGATGCTAATACCCCAGTCTAAGTCTTGGAGAGCAGCTCTCAGCCTTGGAAAATTAGCTCTCTTAAAATTTGAGCGTTTTTATTTTTCCAGTATACGCTTGCTGTTTACAGCTAACAATAAATGAAATCATGTTATGGTCACTGCTACCCAGATGTTTTTATATATGGAAATTAGTAATAAGCTCTGCATGGTTTGAGATTACCATGGCCAGCAGAGCATCACTCCTAGTTGGGGCCTCTATGAACTGTGCCATACAATTGTCCTGTAGTAGGTTTATAAACTTTGCCCTTTAACTGTTCCTACAGTACCAATACTCAAGGTCAATTTCCAGGTAGTTAAAATCCCCCATTATCACTGTCCCAGCCCTTGCAGCCCTTTTGATCTGTGGAGGGAACCTTTCCTGCAGGCAGAACACACGGATTACTGCTGGCGGCTATAACCACCAGCAGTAATCACATAAAAAAAAAAAAATATATATATATGATAGACCAGTACAACAAGACTGCCCGTAGATGGATTGATTCTCGACTGATCTCCAGTCTGCTGAACTGGCTGAGATTCGATCCATCTATGGATGGCTTAAGGTCAAGGACATTGTTTGCTTCTGCCTGCAACAAGGAAGTGTTCTTTAGCTGAGAAGAGTGAGATTCACACTGGCCAATCACTAAGAGGTTTAGGACAGTGATGTGGGCACGGAAGTGGAATATTAGGACCCTTCCTGCCCAGGCCCAGCTTGGAGAGGATGTAGTGACATATGGTACTAAGCATTCCAGGCTCTGCCAGGAGACTATGTAGTGGAGGATGGTCCCTTGCATTCCAAGCTCTGCCTGGAAAGGATGTAGTGGTGGATGGTCTCTTACCTTCCAGGCTTTGCCTGAAGTGTACGTAATGGTAGATGGTCCTTTGCTTGGAGAGTATGTAGTGGTGGATTGTCCTTTGCCGTCCTGGCTTTACCTGGAGATATGTAATGGTGTACAGTCCTTTGCCTGGGGACTATGTAGGGGTGGATGATCCCTTCCTTTTCAAGGTTTGACTGAAGGGTATGTAGTAGTGGATGGTCCCTTGCCTAACAGGCTTTGCCTGGAGAATACATAATGGTGGACTGTACTTTCCCTGTGGAGTATGTAGTGTGAACGGTCCCTTACCAGGAGAGTATGTAATGGTGGACAGTCCTTTGCCTTCCAGGCTTTACCTGGAGAATAGGTAGTGGAGGATGATCCCTTGCCTTCCAGGCCTGCTGCCTGTTGAGGATACGAGTCCAGAATTCCTTGCCTTCCAGACCTGCTTTCAACAACAAGTGCCCTGGGAGATGGTCCAAAGATTCCTAAATGTGTCTGTCCACCTCACCTACCAAATCTGCATTAGCCTGTAACAAAGGTTAAAAGATACCTTGAAATAGCGTAGGGAATTTTTGGTGCTATTTTGGGGTATTCTGTACCCAGAAACCTCTCTCTCTTGGACAAATGAGCCAAGAACATAGCAAAGAAAAGACTAATGAGCCAAGAACATAGCAAAGAGAAGACTGATAATAAAGTGGAAGTCTGTCTATTGCCATTGGTAGGTTTGCGAGTGTCTGGGAGCAGCACTAGGGCATATTACCAGTAGGAAGGCCAGTAGGACCCATAAATACCAGCAGCAACTTCTGAGGTCATTGCCACAGATGTAGAGAGTTGTTCCCGTAGGTTTTCGTGTGTTTTTTAAATAGGTTGCAGATAACAGAATTCACAAGTACAAGTGATTTAATATTATAATTCATATAGCATTTGTTTACAACCAGAATAAATACATAATATACAAACAGTTTAAATACAATATAAAGTAGTACATTAGCAAACCAGTAACAGTCTGTGCCGCTCAGACAAAGCTTGTGAATTCCCAATCATTGCTCTGAAAGTTTCAAAGTCCTGTTTGTAATTGATATGAATGTACTGAACTACAGTACAGAGTATAAAATCCAGGACTGTGTGTGAAGGTTCAAGACCTGCCTAGTGGATAATTATTCTCCAGCAGTGTATTATCTCACCTAAATTCTATACAAGGATACTAGTATGTGAAACGCGTGGAGGGACATGTTTGAAAGACTTCAAAAGGGACGTTTATTGAAACTAGAATTCCAGCATTTTGTACTTGCGAACTCTGGAATAGTGCTGAAAGATGAACTTCAGGTGAGCATTTCCATAAGTGAAAAAAAAAAAAAAAAAATCCCACCATAGGGCTGTTCAGCCAGGTTTGTGATTAACACTTCTGTGCCATGGAGGCAGATGATGCCAGCATTTCCTGGTTATGTTTTGTAACTCTACAGGCCACCTCTTCATTCTTTCTACTTACTGTACAATACATTGGAATTATCAGCTCTGTCCAGTGAGCAAGGAGGAGAAGTGAAGATGAGTCTCTGGCAGTGCAATGCGGATCAAAAGAACGATTGAACAGAATAAGTCCTTGGCAAGTAAAATAGTTCCCATGCATGTATTCCCAGCTGTGCATTTAGTGATTTGCACAGTTCTTCACTTGAACTGAAAGGCTCACATGGTCACATCTGATGGCAGCCAGCTGTCTGGCCACCAAACACTTTATATTTTTCAAATGCCCATGCCATGAAGATACACTCATGAATTGCTTGAGAGTGCCCATCATGTAGCAGAATAGATAAGGTGCCAGATTCCTCCTGTGCTTGCTAAAGGAAGAAAAAAAAAAAAAAAAAAAACTCTATTGCTTACAAACCCTGGAAAGGATTAGGGTGGGTTGTCCACGGTTCCCATAGATATAGTGACTGTCCCGTTCTTGATGGCCACCTCTCCTCTTTGACAGCCAGGAAGAAGAAAGATGTAAGCCCCGGAACGTGTATGGTCAAATCCAGCCACCAATGGCAACTCCCCTGTTTCTACCCTGATACCTTTCTTTCAAGGCTACCCTAAAAGTTTTCAGAAAAATGGGAAAAACATCCATTAGTTTGGACTTTCAGCAGGCAATACAGGGCTGGATTTTGATTGGCCAACTTACTCTACCATTTATATTAAAATCTATAATCTATGAGAATTAGTAATTAATTCCTAAGCAAATGGATTATATGAAATACCAAATGCAGTGACATGCTTGCAGTAAAAGCTGGCCATACACAAGTAGATGTTCATACAAAAATTCTCAGTATATTTCATTGCTCAAAAATTCAAATTCAAAATTCAATTTGCTTTTAATATTCGATATACGAAAAGACTTTACAGAACAAAAACCACATTCACTGTTACACATTCGGCTGTTTTAGAAAAAGTTTCCATTCTGCTCCTTCAAATTCTCACATCACTGCACTTGAAATTAAATGTCAGTTTTGCCCAGTTAAGGCCCCTTTCACAAGGGCGGACTCCGCCAGTGGATCAATCTGCTCAGCAGGGGATCTGTCCGCTGATATCTGCTGAGCAGGTGGATGACAGGTCCGTGTCCACTCCACTTATGCAGAGCAGACACGAACACAGCCCACTGTCCTCTATGGGCGGTCAATTATAAAGAGACCGCCTATTCATTTACATTCGACTGTCATCCAATCCGATCCACTGGACCGAAGGGGAACAGATCCCCATCCATCTGTTAGGATTGGATGCAGGCGGGTGTAAAACGGATATATGTCCATCTACATCCACTGCTCTATAGAGGGCAATGGATAGTCCAATCGGGTCTGCCTGAAAAACAGACAGGTGGACCTGATCAGTCCGCCAATGAATGAGGGGCCTAAAGATTTGAAAACCAAACTAAATGGTCTTTAAACAAAAAAATGTTCAAAACAAAAAATTGTACTAGCATATGGCCAGCTAAAGTTTGTGGAACGAACCCATTAAAAAAAAAATCTCTTTCTGTGCATGACCAGCTCTAGAGTTCGACTATACCAAAAGCCAATTTCTGATTGGTAAATGCTTGCTTTTTTTGAACATTATGTCAAAGCCCAAATGAGCATATGAAAAAAGATAAAAATCAAAAAAAAGGTCACAGTAGCTCAATAGCCATCAATTGTCTGACTCTAACAAAAAGATATTTGATTGGCTGTTGCACTTTGCCCATCACCGCTGTGCTTAGAACATCCTTACAGCAAGTGACATTTTCACAGTATCTACATCCTGGCTGTTCCCATCAAACGATGTGTATTATGTTGTATAAAAAAATATATTTTCAGATGAAACCTGTAAACTCAGTTATTGGTGGAGTGGACAGCTCTTAGTTATGCATATAGAAATAGTCCAGAGCCGGCCAGCTCAGGATAAGGCTGGAAGGATCCTCCTGGGATAAAAGGGGATGAAGTCTCTGAGAGCGGGGGCCGGCTTCTGCTCCTCCTCCTCCAACTTCAGCTTTTCGTTGGGTTCCAGCAGCTGCTGCATGTAGCATGATGTACCCAGAAGGACATGACCTGTAGCCTGCATAGTGTAGAGTGTCCAGCGTAGCGCCTCCCTGTGGGGGTAAATGAAATATTAAATGGAAGAATTGGGCCTTTTTTGCTGCCGCCCCCCCCCCATACTCTATGTAGGCAGATGATGTTTTTTCTTTGGGGATAGGAGAAATAGAACCTCTTGTAGGTTTTCATTGTCATCTGATCTTATTGTGAAAATGTATCATTGCTTCCTGACTGGATAGTAAAGCTATGTTTAGATGTGGTTGGGGGGCATTAAAGATACGAGGTTGAGCTGCGTTTTTAGTCCTCCCCCCAACTGTAGAGAGGTAAATGAAATATTAAATGGAAGAATTGGGGCGTCCCCCCCCCCCCTACTCTTTGTAGGCAGATCAGGTTTTTCCTTTGGGGGATAAGAGAAATAGAACCTCTTGTAGGTTTTTGACGTCTGATCTCATTGTGAAAATTTATCGCTTCCTGACTGAATAGTAAAGCTATGGTTAGTTATGTGGTTGGGGGGCATTAAAGATGCAAGGTTGAGCTGCATTTTTAGTCCCCCCCCACCAACAGCTAGAGTGGGGGTGTTTACATGCTTTTCTTGTGCAAAAACTGTCCAATGTATTGCGATTGGAGAGTGAGAAGTGCTGCAAATGACCTGCACCTGCAATGCACATGGATGTGGCGTGCTTGTTGTGTACAAAATGTACACATCATTCACTGAAACGTCAGGTGGCATGATGCGCTGTGCTACCCGACATTGCAGTGTGATATTAATGCATTTTAGCACAGCGCTGGGCTGTGTTGCAGTGTGAATGGGACATATAGGAAAGAATTGTTTCCCGTGTGTCCCTGTGGTGATAGACATTTTACCATGCAGTAAAACTTCTGTCTCCACATATGTGAATTTGCCTTGAAGAGGTATCACATCACCTCCTCACTGCCTCTAAATCACCTTTGCAAAGTAATCTAAATGCAGATCAATCGAGGAGTGTCAGATGCAGAGGCACATTGAAACCTAGGCTTCGTCAAATAAAATCTTTGCACTGCAGACACAAAAACTGCAACAAAAATCTTATTTTGGTAAAATGAGGGAGAATTAGAACCTCTGTAAGGTATTTGCAGTTTCTTGGGTCTGGGTCCCCCCCCCCCCCCCAACCATTGCCACAGTGATGCCAGGCATTATTCAACCATGAGCAGCTCTGGACTGATGGATGAGCGAATCTGTAGGGAACAGTTCTGGATATCAGGCAAGTAAAGCAGCTCTTTTATAGTTAACTCATGCTGGGGACTGGTATTTTGTCATTTTTGCATGGGCTGGAGTTGGGATTTAAATCCTGTTACCAGGGGCGGACTGACCATTTGGAAACTCTGGCACTGCCCGAGCACCCGGGGTCAGTAGGGAGCCCCATGAGATGCCCCTGGTACCTTTTTTATAGGCTTAAGTTTGGGCAAGGACACAGGGGCCCCATGATCCCCTATTGCCCAGGGGCTCCATGAGTTGTCAGTCCGCCCCTGCATGTATCTGTGCATGTTACACAGTGTGTATACTCACTTCATCACTCGCTTGGCGCTGTAGCACTGCAGGTCATAGGATATGGTGTAATTTCCATAGAGTGTGGCTTTGACATTGATGCACCCTATGAAATCCTGTGGATGAGTCTTGTACAGGTCGAAGCTAATCCGAGCAACATCGATCTTCTTCTGTGGCTTGCTGGACAGGGAAATGTGGTAGCCTGCTCTCTGCAGGGAAAGAGAAGTATTAGACTTATTGGCTCCGATTCCTGGAAATAACCATCAATATGGCAAATAAAACTTAATGAAAAGCAACAAATCTTATGTTACACTAACTGCAACTATGCTATCCAGCTTGACCTTTATTAGGAATGATCAAGGAAAAAAAGAAAAAAAAAAAAAAAAAAAAAAAAAAGAGTGTGCTTTGCTCTTAGATTAGAATAAAACTGAATATCATAGCCAGCTTCAAGGACAAGTTCACCTTCAGGAACATATTACATGTTCCACCCGTTTTTTGGGTGGAACATGTGACATGTTCCTGCTCCTGCAGTGGCTCGGCGATGCGAGCCCTCTGTGTGACAGCAGGATGGGGAGACGTTCCTCGTACCAGCTCTCACTTTTTGAAAAGGGCGTAGCTGAGCAGGGCTCCACCCACACAGCCGTGTTATTCATTTACAGAGTTCTGTGATTGAATCAACCACAAGTACTGACATCCTTTGTGGATGTTGGCTTGTAGTTCAATGAACTAGTTGATTTTTCCTGTCAATGTGAAATTGCCTGCCCATAAGATGTATGATGTACAGGCAGACAGCTCACACTGACAGCCTGCAGGAGTTCTGCATGGCACCAGCAGCTGCTGATGGCTGGTGCAATGCTTTCCAGGCTCCAAAAAAAAAAAAAAAAAAAAAAAAAAAAAAAAAAAAAAAAAAAAAAGAGTAATTGCACATTTTTTTACCTGCCAAAAAAAGTTAAATCTATAATTTTTTTTCTTAAAAGGTGAACTTCTCCTTGAAGCAGGCACCTTACCTTAAAGCGAAACTAATATATAATAGAATACATACATGTAAACAGTGAATATGACTAATGCAGACAGATGTCAAGTATGGAAATATGCAGTAAACTAGGACCTATGCTGGTGGGTCATTGCAGGTTAAAAATAATTATAGTGAACTTTCAGTATAAATTCATTCTAGGTGCCAGAAGCATGAGCTTTATTGATTGCACAACTGTAGGTCTGACACAGTAGGGGGGAGCGTGTCAAACTTCCGCTTCCCGACAGAGAGCAAGGGTTCCAACTCTGCAGCATGCTGGCTGGGGACAGGCTTTCCTGTTCAGGATGTGGCTGCTTTCTGAAGAAAACTAGTTGTACGACAGACATGAAACACCTTTTGTTTTGGTGCACCTGGAATGTACGTATTTAGCCAATTTAAAGCCCAATCAAACTTGTAGTTTAAGAGTGTAATGTAGCCTGTGTGGTCACTTTTATTTTAGGTGTATGTGCTGTATTTTGGTACATCATACATGGTACTCGTTACTCACCTGGGAAGGTTTCCATGTCTGCCCTTTGGCCAGTGCCACGAAGACAGCTCCACTGTCCACTGACTGAAAGAAGTCCTCAGTGTCCACTCCGGGTCCCATCTTCATCCAGAACCAGTGTGATAGCATCAGTTATGAGCAGAGCATCCTGGGCCTGTGACAAAGGAGAATGAATACAGATGATGCAGGATGACCACACTTAATTCAAAACAGCCATATACATATACAAACAGATGGAGTTCAACTTTAAAGACTATGTAATATACCGTACTTGTGAGCTGCAAAGACCCTAAAAATATGTACAAATTACAACCCTCACCTGCCAGTACCCACCCACACTCTCACAAGTGTGACCAACACAAAGTCAGCAGCTACAAAAACTGTAGCTGCTGACTTTTAATATACAGACACTCATCTGTCCTTCGGTCCAGTGATGTCCTCACCATAGCTGGTTTCACCAGCCGTCTTCTCTCCCTGGCATCGGAGTCTTGTGCAGGTAGTGCTGCACTTGGAGAATGGCCCCGTAGTCTTCTGGGACCTGTCACGTGTCCCAGAAGACTACGTGCAGGGAGGGGTAAGGACAACTTCCGCTTCATCGCTTAGGCAATTGCAGCGGAAGTGGGAGCGGGCACCTGTCAAATTTGGGTACCCGCTCCCCAAAGGTGCCAATCCTTAACGGGGAGTGGGGGACAAAGGCTTAAAGCGGAACTTCCCCTTTTGGGTGGAACTCTGCTTTAAGGTACAGTGCTTAATCTTTTTAGTGAGTCAAGTCACATGGCTGGTGATGAAACGCGTAGAGGCAGGCTATCCTGGATGAGGTCATTACGTGCAGGAAAGCCAAGATTTTGGTATTTGCTCACTGTCGGATGCTGTGATCTATTGCTATTGGAACAAGCATACTGAGCTTGTAAAAGATCATGTGTGGTGCCTGTTAGCCGAGGATGTAAAGTGAGTGGCATTCTTAAACGGTGGGGGTTTAATCAAAGTTTTTTTGAAGAATAAAGCACTATTTGGAGTTTTTCCTTTTGTATGTGATTGAGTGGAGGCTGCAGTCTTAAAGGGAAAGTCATCTGAGTTATTAACAGAGCGGAACCCATATACGGTCTGCATTTGAAAGGTGGAGAAAATCCAGGAGAGGGAAGTCGGATGGCATATGCACGTTTACTTAAAGGAGACGTACACCTAAAATGATGCAGTAACATTGGTGGTGGATGAAGTCTCGATGGTGGAAATAAAAAAAAAAAAAAAAAAGTGCATCATAGATTATCAATTGTAATGCTTTGCTCATATTCATAATAAATGTGAGTAGTAGCATGTTGGTTGTATATGAAGGTATTATTGGCTTGAAACGGTAAAACATTACTATGGACTTTTTTCCCCGTATCATCAAGTGGAGGAGAGCTGGAGGTTTCCTTAAAGGGAAAGTACCATATAACATCTAACTGGAGATTTGAGTTGCTAGAGGTGTCCGGCTCTCTATTTTCGGTCCTGTACAGGACACAAGTGCATTTGACTATACATAGTATGTACGGTCCTACACTTCAGGTAAGGGCACATCTGATGGTGGCCGCTACACTTAAAGATTTCTGCTATAAGCACCATCAGTGGTGGTGAATTTATTTTGCAAGAAAACCCATTGGACAGGTTTTTTTTTTTTTCTCAAATAAAAAAAGGACACCCACCAATTCACATATAGTTTGTTTCTATCATTATTTGTGGTGTGGTATAGTGTAATCATATTTGGATCACAAAAAAATGGAGGTGCTGTACTTTGTGTAAAAAAAAAAAAAAAAAAAAAAAGGCTTTAAAGAGGAGCATTATTCAAATAATGCCTTTTTATAAAGGCATTATAAATAAAAATAAAGACCTGATAAAGACCTTGAAGATGAAACGGATATTAATCCCATTTCCGCACCTTGTTCAGTAGATCTCCCAGACTATCCGCTACAATGCCCTTGCGTATGCTGCGATCCCAGTTACAGACTCTGAAGGGTCGAGGCTTGGAGGCCGGACGAGAGAGGAACTGTTGAGTCATAGTAGCACTGACCGAGACACATCTAATGAAAAAATGACAAGTTACAGTACGGAATTAAAAAAAAAAAAATCTTTTCATCATTTCAGTATTACAGCATGATCCTAAATCCTAAACAATTTCTTGTCTCACATATTCATGTATTCTAGTGGATCAGGTATTGCCCCCCCCACTTAAGTTTCTGAATTCCACTGAGATCAGCACATTAACGAAATAGAGAAAATAGATTACTATCAAAAACATCATGCCAAAAGAGGACTTGGTCATTATAATCTAGTTGTCCATCAGCCTGCATCTGTGACAGTTCTGGGAATATTTCCTAACTCTGTCTGCCCTTTATCCTTACTGCACACTGATCGTGACTTTTGGTCTGGGTAGGAATGAGTCTCAGACATTGCCAGTGAATTTCTAAACATCGTGCTGTCTGACCAGCAAAGTAAACCAAAGGGATTGGGCATCCAGTATAAACCATATACCACAATCTGAATGAGCCCCTGATAATAATATGGTGGATGCATTAGTTTTCTGTTTTCAGGCTATTCTTCCTTTTATTCCCACCCCATCAAGTTATCCTGCCAGTAACACACCTAGAAGAGGTGGGTATGAGGCACCGGACTACAATTTCCTGTCCATCAGATAGTGAGTTATGGTTGGGCTTGACTTTCACAAAGCCATGCCCCCCTCAAAAAGAGGCAATAGCCTCCATTGAGAAGTTCAAGAGGAGCTGACAAAGTGCCCCAGCCGGTCATCTTGAGAGTTCACAATCATTTACTGCATATTACGACTTGAAATAACACGACAATAAAAGATGGCCAATACCTTTTGGGGGGCCAAACAGTCCCCCTTTGTTGCGGCTTAACCAGAAAATGATAAAAGGCTTCCTATAGGACTTTATCTATAGGGCAGCACAGTGGCTAAATCATTAGCACTTCTGCCTGGCAGTTCTAGGATCGTTGGTTCGAATCCCAACCACAGCACCTCCTGCCTGGAATTTGCATGTTCTCCCTGTGCCTGCATGGGTTTCCTCCCACACTCCAAAAGACATGCCAGTAGGTTAATTGGCTCCTGTCTAAATTGGCCCTAGTATGTGTATGCATGAATGTGAGTTAGGGATCTTAGATTGTACACCCCTTGAGGGTTAGGGACTGATGTGAATGTACAATATATATGCAAGCGCTGTGTAAATTGAAGGCACAATAAAAGTACCTGAAATAAATAAAGGCCCCTGGAAAGTGTTCTATGTCAAAAAAATGAAGCCATAATGGACGTGTATTAGAGATACCTGTGCCCAAGTCCTACATAAAGCCCCCCCCCCCCCATTTCCTTTTTAATCCCAGATGAAGGGGGATTTTTGGCCCATGAAATGTGTTGGCTGTCTGCATCTTCCTGGTTTTTCACCCTAAAGTGTTACTAAACCCATAACAGTACAATCAGTCTGTATATGCAGTAAACGTATGCTTGTTATTCTCACTATGGAACCCATGCGGTTAATCCTCTGCATTGTGTAAAATAGGATGTTTGATACTGGCTTCTCTGATTCTCCGCTTCTTCCACAGTCCCCAATTCATCTGCTGATAGAACAGAACCTTGGGGCAAACTGCACATGCTCAGTTTGGTGTATAATGCTAGAGTTTTTTTTATTTTTGGGAGGGTGCATTTGATCAGCACAGGGCCAATCAGCACTGTCCAGACAGAGGGTCAGGGGTCCTGCAGCCTCATAGGACTGGGTAAGTCTGATAACACTGCTTGAGATTTCTGTGCAGTAGAAACAGAAATCAGAGAAAGTTGTCCACTAACTGGATCAGCTGGGTTTTTCTGCATTTAACAAATATATCAAAACACTTTCAATGGTATATTCAACAGACCTAAGGGGAACGAATAAAGGAAGTCCTTTGTTAGGGTGTACTTCCCCTTTAATTTTATATAGCACACATATAATTGCTAAAGATAGAGGAGTGCTAATAATAATTATATACATATAGATTTATAATATATACACAGATACAGGAAACACTAACAATAAGCATCGGCAGAAGATCTTACATTCTAAAACAAGAAGAGTCAAGTATGTGTTGTGACTTGAGTATTAAGAAAAGATGGAAGGGATTACAAAAGGGAGGGTCAGTAAATGCCAACACACGTAGGGAAGGGAGTTCCAGAGAAAAGCTAAGCATGGGAGAAAACAATAAGATATCATTGTGGTTTGAGATAATGTTTTGATTTGTGTTTCAAGGTTATATAAAACTTTGGAAAGATCGGTATTAAAAGGAGTGATTACAGAAGGGAAGGTTGGTGAATACCCGTCCACATATGAAAAGGAGTGCTAGAGAAAGGGAGCAGCATGAGAGAAGACGATTAGAAGAAATGTTTCTATTGGTTTTAACTAGGTGGTGGAAAGACCAAGGGCCATACACCTAGTTCACCTCTGGAGTAAACCTGCAGGTCTATTAGGTCAAAGGGCAAAGAGCGATGATAATAAAGTGCAATTACCAAAAGCAACTGGCATTTACTTTATGGAAACCAGATCATTGAAAAGCTAATTCCTATTGGTAGCTATGGATCACGGAGCCATCTACACGGGTCTTTGCCTTGCTGAGCAACTCTGTAGGTATGATAACATTTGAAGTGGAAATATGCAGTAGAAAAAGTTATATTCTTACTTGGAAAGAGATCTGGGGGAGAGAAGACTCAGTGACTTCATGGCGTATTCCATATTTGTAAGAACGATTTGGTCCACTCTGAAAGAAAAAAATGGAATTTAGTGTAAATATCCAGCCATGTACCATTGCACAGGACTACCATACCTTGTAAGGCTTACCATACTATAGAGCCATGTTTGTAAGACTAGGCACAGGTTTAAAAGGAAATCTTCATGGTTCTGTGATCATTTTAATTTCATTTCTTAGATTTCTAGGATTTTAAAACCCAATTGAAGTCCCAAACCTTTGTCTCTTCACAAGCATTTAAATGTCTTGTTTCATTCACCCTGTCCAGCTACATGTGAGACGATTCCAAAGAGATTTTTTAAAAAATGTAGCTGCAGGTGGCTCATATGTTGGACAATCCAGCTTTCCTAGCGGAGAACCCCGAGAAGCTATGAATTGTATGTATTTTCCCACCTTAAAAATCTATTGGCAGTCTTATGATGAAAGCATTGATATCTAACCAATGTCCACCAGAAAGAAAGTACGCAGGTGAAGTCTATCTATACTTACTCATTGGCCATTGTATCAGATGTTACAAGATCACGGCCTGGGATGTTCACAGGAAATGTGTCTAATGTAGATTGTGGGAATATCAGGCTTTATATCCATTCTTATGTACTGTCTAATCATTGCTTACATCACAGTGTGTACAAAGTCTCCGCCACCGAGTCACTTCTCCAGCTCCACCCAAAGTGGCCCAGTATGTAGAGAGGACAAGGTCTGCTCTGGTGAGGGTTCATAGGTGAATGATTGCGGTTTATTAGTCACTTGTCAGATTACAAACTCATGTGACATATTTTTAAAAATAAAATATATCACATGCTGTAATGTTATAGAAGGACTCCAACCAAAGAGATAACCTTCTTGGGTAATATGCTTCCAGAAGAACATGGATTCCATAAGCACAATTTATTTGGGGTCCATTTCATCTGCTGCATATACAAAAGGTGTGTATACAAGGGCTGTCAGGATTCATTTTTTTTTGTTCAACCAGCGGGTGAATGGGAAAAAAAAAAAAAAAAAAAAAAAAAAAAAAAAAAAAAAAAGGAGAAGAAGATTTCCCCATCTACACATTCAAGATGGATGGAGAATCACTGGTGCTGTATTCTGACAGGAGGGAACCTTCCCTGCTCTCAGAATACAATGATCTGTGTTGCTGGCTATAGACGACGGCACTGATCGTTCAAGAAAAAAACTTAGACTGGTTGTACACAGTTGATTGATAGAACGACTTGTGTACAACCAGCCAGCCCATACATGGACGGAAATCTGCAACAAAGTGGACACACTTAACACCATAGCGCCATGGGGTTACCGAGAAACAAATCACTGTGAGAGGACCTTTCTAATGTCAGCTCCCCATCCAGGACTGGCAAGCTGTGCCAGTGCCGCCCTCTTTAGACCGAAGAATCTTGAAAAAACAAAACAAGACAATCCAGCTTTCCTAACTGAGAACCCCGAGAAGCCACAAATTGTATGTATTTTCCCACCTTAAAAATCTATTGGCAGTCTTATGATAAAAGCATTGATATCTAACCAATGTCCACAAGAAAGAAAGTACGCAGGTGAAGTCTGTCTATACTTACTCATTGGCCATCGTATCAGATGTTACAAGATCACGGTCTGGGATGTTCACAGGAAATGTGTCTAATGTAGATTGTGGGAATATCAGGCTTTATATCCATTCTTATGTACTGTCTAATCATTGCTTACATCACAGTGTGTGCAAAGTCTCCGCCACCGAGTCACTTCTCCAGCTCCACCCAAAGTGGCCCAGTACGTAGAGAGGACAAGGTCTGCTCTGGTGAGGGTTCATAGGTGAATGATTGCGGTTTATTAGTCACTTGGCAGATTACAAACTCATGTGATATATAAAAACTGCTTCCAGAGAACATGGACTCCATAAGCACAATTTATTTGGGGTCCATTTCATCTGCTGCATATACAAAAAAGGTGTGTATACAAGGGCCATACAAGTTTTTTTTTTCGTTCAACAAGCAGGTGAATGAAAAAATAAATAAATAAATAAATAAAAGGATTTCACCATCTACACATTCAAGATGGATGGAGAATCAAGGTACTGTATTCGGACAGCAGGGAGCCTTCCCTGCTCTCTAAATACAATGATCGGTGTTGCTGGCTATAGACGACAGCACTGATCATTCAGGAAAACCCTGACAGGCTGGTTGTGCACAGTTGATTGATAGAACGACTTGCGTACAACCAACCAGCCCATACATGGATGGAAATCTGCAACAAAGTGGACACACTTAACACCATAGCACTATGGGGATACCGTGAACCAAATCACTGTAAGAGGACCTGTCTAATGTCAGCTACCCATCCAAGACTGGTAAGCTGTGCCAGTGCCGCCCCCTTTAGACCAAAAGAATCTTGAAAACAAAATGGTGCAGAGGCTTAGAGCATTACCAACAAAATGTAACTGAGAAGTTAAAACCATACGCACAATAGCCGTAGATTAAACAGCCATATACATGAACCCAAGTGGCAAGGTGGTTCTTGATTAAAGAGGAAAAAAAAAAAAAAAAAAAAAAAATCACACGACCCCAACATCACACTTGCCAGCTGATGCGTTTCAAGGGACAAGGCCTTCAAAGCAGAGCCTATGTTCTCGTTTTGGTTTTAACGTCTCAAAAAATGTTGTTGGTAATGCACTAGGCCTCTTGGCCCTATTGTTTTGTTTATGTTATTTTATGGATCAAAATGCAACTGGTCCCTGCCGAACGATGTAATTTGGATCCATGTATGGCCGCCTTTACTTGAGCCCCTTGTTTTCATCAAACCCCAGGAATGAGAAGGATGGTCTGGGGGCAAAAAAAAAAAAATAGTGCGTAAATCTGTTCTGGTCCTAATTTATGTAGCTACAATGTGATGAGATGGGAATCCAGGAATTGCCAAAAGGAGAGAATCAAGTGAGGACTTCATAATAGTATTTAACTAAAGACTTTTTTTCCCCCTATTATGAATACAGCAGTAATGGTTAGGCCTCAGTCTGTTTTTCCTGCCATCTGTGTCCCTGTAGGAAAGATTCACCTTCTTGTTTTGTCCTGATGACCCTTGTCACTTAGACAGAAAGTGAGAGAAAACAAAATACGAAAATTATCATTAAAGCTGGCCACAAACTAGTAAAATTTAATTCCAAAAATCTTCTTTCAAGAATGTTTATTCTTTCTAATTGTTAGCAGGGTCAAATCAACATTCATTTTCAAACCCAGAGACAAGAAATTTTGAAGGAGCAGGATGGAAAATGTTTCCCAAAATAAAATATATATATATATATATATATATATATATATATATAATATATATATATATACATACACACACACACACACACACATACACACATATATACATATACAGTCAGGTCCATAAATATTGGGACATCGACACAATTCTAACATTTTTGGCTACATACACCACCACAATGGATTTGAAATGAAACGAACAAGATGTACTTTAACTGCAGACTGTCAGCTTTAATTTGAGGGTATTTACATCCAGATTAGGTGAACGGTGTAGGAATTACAACAGTTTGCATATGTGCCTCCCACTTGTTAAGGGACCAAAAGTAATGGGACAATTGGCTTCTCAGCTGTTCCATGGCCAGGTGTCTGTTATTTCCTCATTATCCAAATTACAATGAGCAGATAAAAAGGTCCAGAGTTCATTTCAAGTGTGCTATTTGCATTTGGAATCTGTTGCTGTCAACTCTCAATATGAGATCCAAAGAGCTGTCACTATCAGTGAAGCAAGCCATCATTAGGCTGAAAAAAACAAAACAAACCATCAGGGAGATGGCAAAAACATTAGGCGTGGCCAAAACAACTGTTTGAAACATTCTTAAAAAGAAGGAACGCACCGGGGAGCTCAGCAACACCAAAAGACCCGGAAGACCACGGAAAACAACTGTAGTGGATGACCGAAGAATTCTTTTCCTGGTGAAGAAAACACCCTTCAAAACAGTTGGCCAGATCAAGAACACTCTCCAGGAGGTAGGTGTATGTGTGTCAAAGTTAACAATCAAGAGAAGATTTCACCAGAGTAAATACAGAGGGTTCACCACAAGATGTAAACCATTGGTGAGCCTCAAAAACAGGAAGGCCAGATTAGAGTTTGCCAAACGACATCTAAAAAAGCCTTCACAGTTCTGGAACAACATCCTATGGACAGATGAGACCGAGATCAACTTGTACCAGAGTGATGGGAAGAGAAGAGTATGGAGAAGGAAAAGAACTGCTCATGATCCTAAGCATACCACCTCATCAGTGAAGCATGGTGGTGGTAGTGTCATGGCGTGGGCATGTATGGCTGCCAATGGAACTGGTTCTCTTGTATTTATTGATGATGTGACTGCTGACAAAAGCAGCAGCAGGATGAATTCTGAATTGTTTCGGGCAATATTATCTGCTCATATTCAGCCAAATGCTTCACAACTCATTGGACGCCGCTTCACAGTGCAGATGGACAATGACCCAAAGCAGACTGCAAAAGCAACCAAAGCGTTTTTGAAGGGAAAGAAGTGGAATGTTCTGCAATGGCCAAGTCAATCACCTGACCTGAATCTGATTGAGCATGCATTTCACTTGCTGAAGACAAAACTGAAGGGAAAATGCCCCAAGAACAAGCAGGAACTGAAGACAGTTGCAGTAGAGGCCTGGCAGAGCATCACCAGGGATGAAACCCAGCGTCTGGTGATGTCTATATGTTCCAGACTTCAGGCTGTAATTGACTGCAAAGGATTTGCAACCAAGTATTAAAAAGTAAAAGTTTGATTTATGATTATTATTCTGTCCCATTACTTTTGGTCCCTTAACAAGTGGGAGGCACATATGCAAACTGTTGTAATTCCTACACCGTTCACCTGATTTGGATGTAAATACCCTCAAATTAAAGCGGACAGTCTGCAGTTAAAGCACATCTTGTTCATTTCATTTCAAATCCATTGTGGTGGTGTATAGAGCCAAAAATGTTAGAATTGTGTCAA